ACCCACTTTCCATCCCTGTAACGCAGTGACAAATGTGTAGCCACAACTTTGCTTGCTGCTTCACCTCTTCTCCTTGCCCTATGTGAGTTACAGTGGCCCTGTGCAGTATATTACTTATTCCCTTCACTTATTTTGTCTTTGACAAATGGAAAGGTTCAAATGGAAAGGTTCARCCTGAAGGTGATGTTAGAGATGGCTCACAGCTGTCACCCTTCAGTGAAGGTGTGAGTCACAAGGCTCAGCCTAAGCTGTGAGGAAACTTGCCCCCACCAAGTAAGTAGGACATCACTTTCTGAGCTCATTTGAGGAAGATGCTGCTGGAATCCASAGCCTGGACTAAAGGACTAGTTTAGACCTTTTCTCAGGGTAGATKCTCTCCACAACAAATCCCTTCCAAAAATTAACCATTGCTCCTCACAGCTGATGGCCCTAACCCAGAAATGCACATGATGAGCTCAGGGCACACACGTGTTTTACAGCTCAGCTTGATGCCTGCAAACCAAATATGCTGTGCTCCTCACACTGTTCAACAACCCTCCCATCTACATTTTACACTACCTGTTGATTCCTGCAAAGCAAAATGTATTGTGCCATGTCTCAACCACATTTCTGTGCAAAAACCTCAGCACCAGCTGGCCATCGAGCAGGGTAACAGTTGCTGCATGCAGTGGACTCTGCCCAAGAAAACCCAAGAATGCTCCAAGTGCAATTGATTCATGGGCACAACATTATTAAGGAATAAAATCTTCCAAGGAAGYCACRGAGTCCAAGACATGAAAGTTTCAGAGTGCATCACATAGAGATGTTTCTTCTTAAAGAYCATTTATGGCATTGGATGCAAGGGGAAAAAATYGAATTATCCATCASTTAACAGGCTTTGTTGTTAAGGCAAATGTGTCAATGCAATGAGAACATACTAGAATTAATCCCTTCAGCCTCTTGAAGCAGCAGAGCCTCAAACTCATGGAGGCAGAAGCTCACCTGGTAGTACTACTCCACAGAACATATTTCTTTTTCAGAGTCCATTGTTTTTAATTTTGTTTTTATCACTTGAAATGTGATGTCTTATCAGTCCATCCTTATGCACAACATGGGAGCAGATTRCCTACACAKCCATTTCTCTKCTCCTTTTTGACTTTGAATTTCAGTTGATTTTTTTGTTCTACTCAGACAACCAGTAAATGCCCCACTGATTACAGAGAGCATATTGATTAACTCAGGTGAATTTTAAAAGTTACACTCAGCAGTGCCATAATGGTGTACAATGGAAATCTAAGGGTGTTTGATGTATCTTGGCATGATTTGACTTTCAGGAAAAGGACCAGTCATCTGTTTCATGTTAATGAAAGCAATCTTAAAAGCTGGGCAGAACATCTGGAACTTGAAAAGATTTGCAGTGAACAGAATAAAACAAAAATAGTAATTCTGTGCCCACCCCCACTGTACACTAAAGTGCTGCAGTAAATTGTTCTGACCTTGGGTGCAAACTGACAGAAAACTACTTGTACTTTATTCTAACTGAGGAATATAAACTGTGTTCAAAAAGGAGACACAGAAATGTAGTTTTTTAAAGTTGCAAGTTAATTGAGTCTTTTTTTTTTTGCTGCGAACAATGTTATTATGAGAGGATTCAACGGTATTTTGGTTTCAGGATTAGAAAATTAAAATATTAATGCCATTTAGTCTTATGATTACTAAGTGGCTTGGTCGTCAGGAAACATGAAAGAAGTTGCAAGCAGTTCTGTGTAACTCATTAATTAAGGCCCATTTAGAGCAATCAGGCAACAATTTGTTTCATGTTCAGTAAAGAAATTTTGTGGCCAGAGAAAAGGGATGAGTACTTTCAGTAATTAATAATAACCTTGACCGTATGCAGGAGCTCCTTCAGGCGTGACCAAATGATTTCTGGCAGACTGCAGAGATAAATCCTTATAAAACCCCAGTCTCAGAGAAAGTTTTCATGAATTACATTAAACTTTGAGAACGTACCTCCCAGTTTCATGAAAGAGAAAAACCAACCCTCACTTTTGAGATATTCCTTTAAAAATCCTTCATACGTATCTCCTATTGGTTAGTGAAATTTGGTTAGGAGAGTTGGTTTTACTTACTGCCAACATCATGACCTTTATTAAAAGTTGAAGCGTTGCCTCTTTAATCTGTATCTGAAAATACATGTGCCCAAAAAATACCATTGAAAATAGTACTTATATCTTCATTAACTCAGTCTTATTTCTCTTTCCATAATAAAATTCACAGTAGCAGAGCCTRAACACCAACCTGAAGTTGTTTAGAAAGCCTTGGAAAAGAATGACATTTTGTTCCAATTCCCCCTTCTTGTTTGTTTGAAGGCTAGACTATCCATGGCACTAGGAATCCTAGACTGGCTTAGGCTGGAAGGGACCTTAAACATCATGAAGATATTTTTCCTGCTTTTATTTCTGTCTTCTCTTGAACATAAAAAAAAATTAGTACTGTTTTTTTTTTTTTCTCTTATTCCACTGAGTGTCGCTGGAATGTTTGATGTCACAGCCTGAGCAATGGCTCCYGTTTCTCCATGGCATTACTCAGGTTTTCATTCTACCCTGCCATTCACTTTCCTGTGAGCAGGTATCAAAAATTCAATGTCTTATCTGCATTAGGCATATTCTCATCATGAGGAATATCTGAAAACTATTCTGCCAATGATCTGTTTTCTTTCTTACTATCAATCTTTTCACTACTGATATTTCTTTATCCACTACTTTATCTTGATCTATCAGATATTTTTTTTAAACAGGTTTGGACATTAAGCCAGTTTCTTTTGACCTTTTCCCCTCACTTCTCAGYTTAAAGCTCTTCTTATCAGCCATAAAAGCCTGGATGTCAGAAGGYAATTTTCCCAGATAGTCAGATGGAATCCAACCTTTGAAAACTGTTTCTTTTAACAAACGTGTCCCACTGGCAACATATTCCCAAGCSTGCCTTTAACACTGATCTTTGAGTCATCTGTTGCTCATCAGTACATCATATACCCTATCTCCCTCTGAAGTGACAAGAAAAAAAATGTAGGGTAGTCACTAAAATGAGACATAATTAACTCAAAAGTATGCGATGGTATTTCTAAGTTGGAGATGCACTGCAAAATCAAACTGGTGTGAAAGCTTGGTGCAACTCCCTGTAAAACAGGCAGACTCATCTCTAGTAACATTTATTGTCATAGGTTGGAACGGATCTCAAGGATCATTTGGTCCAAACTTTCCTGGCAAAAGCATGGTTTGGAATAGATGGCCCAGCACCCTGTTGAGCTGCATCTTTAAAATGTTCAAAAATTCCCAATGGGGAATTYACTGCTTCCCTGGGGAGGTTATTCCAGTGACTGATCGTTTCCACTGTGAAACTTTTTCCTCTGCTGTCCACTCAGAATCTCCCCAGCAGTAACTGGTAGCCACTTCCCCTCACCTTTTCCATGTGACTCCTTGTAAAAAGGGAGTCTCCATCTTCTTTTTATCCCCCTTTAAATACTAGAACATGGAGATAAGGTCTCTCCTCAGCCTTCTTTTCTCACCACCAGACAAACCCAAGTCTCTCAGCCTTTCCTCATAGGGCAGTTTCCTGTTCTTGGATCATTTTGTGGTCCTTGTCTGAACCCTTCCCAGCCTCTCTACTTTTTGTCACCGTGCCACGTCTTTGTAATTAAAAAATAAATTGTAAATTTGCATGTTCTGCATTTAAAATATATGTATATATATAATGAGAGCTGTCTTTTGATCAATCCTTGCAACTGATCTTTGTTTTACAATATCTCACTTCATCTTTATCACTGCCATTATCTGTGGCAACCAAAGGTTATCCCAAAGCCACATGGAGGTTATTTCAGAAGACCTGATTATTTGRAATAATTTAAAATATATTAAATTTTGGTGGGGGAACAATAGTGAGGCTGGATTGTCTCTTGTGTTTTGAGAAGCTATGGGTTCCTGCAGAAGTCATTCACAGTGAATTATCTCTTTGCAGGATGCTCATTCATGTCATGCCCAAGACACACCCGAAAGGATACCAAGCTCTGCAGTGATTATRTGGCCTCTCTTAGCAGACTGTTTTCTAATCATAAAATGACCCCACAAGTGAAAAAGATTTTTGGTTTCAACTACCAGATCTCAGGGCAAAGCACAATATGTAGAAGAAAGGGGCATGAAAGCCACAAGCAGTGCCTCCTGAAATAAGGAGAAGGGCCACCGAAAGGCAAAGACAAATTGATGGAGCTTGAGCTTGCAACAGCAGARCCAAAAGCAGGGGAGTGTAAAGTATCCCTGGCAGTTCTGGAACACTGAACCTAAACTAGATTTCTTTAAAATCACTGGAGAAATGTGCTAAATGCTGGAGTCACTGGACTATCCCACAATGCTTGTGCTCAGAAGAACAATGTCCTTAAAAGCTCATTCATTCCACATTTACTGTAGTGTCATTGTGCTAATTTCAACAAAGCRATTTTCGACCAGCAATCAAGTATACCCACTTTATGCTAATGTAGATTTGATTAGCTGGCTTTCAGGATCTCTGTGTTTCTAGGAAAGACTGAAACTCTACTATTTTCTTTCCTCAGGCATCCTTTCCAATCTAATTCATATTTGACAAACAAGACAAGAAATCAATTGTGTGTAGTATATACTGTATAATGACCCACAAAGTTCCTAAAATAGTTGTGCTTGCTCCAGAGCAGTTATTCAGGACTCTGTACACAATTCTTTGGCACTGTTACACCTGGCCAAGTGCCACRGAAAACATGGCTCTGTAAAACAGAGGCGAACCAGATGGGATGAATCTKTGCTTGTGTCACTTCTAAGTTGCCTCATAACCAACACAGTCATAAACAAATCAGGATTTATTCTGGCCTTTCCCATTGTATTTAGGAAAAGAGGRACAGAGTGATATTGAAAGCTGGGGTTGTTTAGCTTCTGCAAATATAAGGAGTGCCCACACCCATGGCCTTAAGGAGATTTTAGGGTCAAGACAGCACTTTGGGTTTCTCAGGATCTCATGGACTTCCTTTCACAGCAGTTTGGATTTCTSAGGATTTGGGAGTCCCTTACCTCTGCCTTGGCATGCGGATGAGTGGCTGTTTGTGGCACCTCTTGCTGAGACCRAAGAGTTTGTGCACCGTCCTCTGGGCTTTGAGAAAGAGTTGSTTCATGCTGTTCTCCAGCTGCTCGTAGCGACGTTGGAAGTTAGAATCCATTGTCCACAAATGCATCACAGCAGATGTGTTCAGGAAATAATTCATAGGCAGCCTCTTCATAAATAATTTGAATTCATCTGGAAAAAAAAAAATTAATTGTTTTTAATTATGCAGCTATTGTTAGTCTTGCAGCAGAAATTAACTTCTAATTTGTTTTTTTTTTTCTTGAAGCAATTTTCATAAACTTTGTCTTTTGAAATTTTAAAATTGAGCATTTTAACTCTTTCAAAGTACAAAGGTGACTATAGTTTTTTGGCAATATCAGACTAAAGCCAGCACAATCCAATATTCATGTGATTTTTTAATTGACATTAAAGCAAATATGAACATTGTCCTTATTTCTCAACCTGGATAATATGAAGATTAAATAAGAATCAGTTTCTTACCTTCAAATCTGGGATCTGAAAGCAAATATGCATTTAATGATCAATGTTTATTGACTCATTTGAAGAACATCAGAAACTGTCTTAAAAGAAGTRTATTCCAATATTTAAGTAAATGTGATTTTACAGGCCATTTCTCTTATATATCTGTTATTTCACCTGAGACAAGCCATTAAATTTTTTGCAAGTATTTACCAGTAAAGTGGACCCTTTCAAGGCATTTTACAGCATGTCAAAATTTTATGACACTTCAGAAATGTTCCCATAAGTCCTTTTTGACTGTGAAGTAGTGGAAGTTTCTTCAGTCACAAGGTCACTGCTACTGTAAACCTGCCATGCTTTGAGACTTGTTCTGGTAGCTCAGTCCACACAAGATRCCTAGACAGAATCTTATTAACACAATTTTAAATAATCAGTGAGTCTGTTTCCATCAGTAGAATGATTTATAACTTCTAAATCCAAATAAACTTCCATTAAAAGGGCTCCAGTTAGTGGGGGAATATGTGAGAATGAGAGGCGCTTGAATGCACATGTTTATCATTTTTCTGTCTTGTTTCCATATATCAGTAGGTTCTCCTGCCTGCCCTCCTGCCTGCTGCTATCCTCCCACCCTTCACAATCCATATTTTTCTTTCMGTTTGTTCCTGCAACAACGTCACTTATCCCACAGTTTGGCTTTCACCCTGCCAGATGCTCCTTTTGGGTAGTCTACACTTCAGCAGACTATGTGAAAGCAAAGATCCCACTGCCTGAAGTAGCCTCCTTCTTCAAACAAAAATAATCATAATATTTAACWGTCGTGTAATTTTAGGTTGCTCGTGGGAGAGGGTTGATTGGGGAAAACGTCTGCTCATATCAAAGAATACTCCATTACAATCTTTGTTCATAAGTCTTTTCGAGTTTTAGCTTTAGTTTAGGGTTTTAACAGCATTTTTACAAAAAGCAGGCAAAGTTTTTTTTCTTTTTGATGGTTGGGGAAAACAGATCCTTTGTAAATAAGCTRTAGCAGCCCTTGACCATATCTTGAGGCACACAGGACAGTGATGGAATATAACACTTTGGCAGAGTATTTTCTGTGATGGGTGAAGACTCATAAGAAGGCAAAAGGCATTGAAAGGTCTTCTGGAAGGTAAAAATTGAAAGACAAGGGGCAAAGATGATGATTTTATGTTTAACAAAGTGTTTTTARTAATTTATCTGGGAATGTGTTGTGCATTTTGCCCTCATGCCTTCCTCTTTGGATAGGAGTTGTTCTCCACTGGAGGACAGCACTGTTGTGTTGAAGGAATAAGGAAAGGAACTGTATCATATCAACTATTTGGAGCCTTTTATCCTTTGCTTTTTCCTTTCCTTAATTTTATCTGAGTTGATTTTTATCCACTGTCCAGCAAGAGTGTCCCTTCCTGGGTGTGCAGCTGACAATTTGAATCAATGAGAATATTTAATAAATTCTGCATTACCAGATGGGCATCTCTGTGTATCTTACTGTAGTTTCAGTTTCTCTTTCCCAAGTGATMATTATTCCTTCCTTAGAATTATAGAATAGTTTAGRTTGGAAGGRACATTTGTAAGTCCAACCCCCACTRCAATGAACAGAGACACCTTCCACTAATTTAGRTTGCTCAGASCCYCATCTAACCTTACCAATCTCTGATTCCTTGTTGGAAATTGTACAACTTTCTTTTTAGTTTTAAGCAACTTTGGTTGTGGCTTTGTTCACCTTTGCCAAGGGGGTGGTGAGCCAGGCTCTGTTGTTGGTTTAGTCTGGCATTTTAAAATTTACATGTTGGGAATCTAGAAGGTATGGAGGAGATAAACAGATATTACCCCCTGGCAAAGCTGGAGACACCCTGTCTGAGAGAAGAATGCCAAGGGAACCACAGAACTTGACCAAAGGAGCATTAAAGACAAAGGAATTGATATCCAATAGAAGATCAAACACGGACTAGTGAAAACAGTTTTGTAACGTAGAACCAAAGAACGAGAAATTCTTTGTTTTCTACAAATGTATGTGAAATGTGAAATATATGCGAAAAGTCTTGTAAGGGACTTGTAGCTGGAATGATTTCCAGTGCACGTCCTGGCCAGAATAAAGGAGCTCATGGCAGCTCATGGACAGTGCCAGAGGTCCATTGCCTCTCCAGTTCAGTGACATCCTCCCAGTGCCCTTCCCAGGCCTCAGTCCCTTCCAGCTCTGCACAGAAGGTATGGCAGAGGGTTATGTCTGCCTTGCCTAAAGGAACCTCAGTCTCATTAGCTTGGTAAAGCTGTCCRAGCATCAAGATTTGAAAATTTAAAATATGGTAGTTTAAAAAAATATATAATTAATAGGAAATAAGGTTAACTGAGCTGATAGAAAGTATGCTTTTTGCAATATGCAGCTTGTAAAAATCAGCAAGTTCTACTGACTTTAGAGGAGTGAGGGTGTACATATATATGTATATAAAAATATATACTGTGGCACCTTGGGAGGATTAGATCCCAAAGCCCCATTCCTGCAAAGCCCCATTCCTGACTACCTGCTTCATTCCAGAGGTCTCTTTGCCCTTCTGTTCCTCTGAGACACTGGTATATCCACAGAAAATGAGCTTCATGAAGCCAAAGCAAAGACAGCTCCCTCAGGAGAAAATAGACTCGGTGATGCCTTTTCAGCCCTCATATTGCTGTAATCACTTATTTAAGAAACGTTGTCACTTTGCTGTCCTCTGCACGGATGGCACTAATCTCTACAGCTAACAACTGCTCAATGCAGTGTTTAGCAGTGATAAGGAGGGTTTRCACTCCTCAACTTGCAATGCAACAGCATTTCCAATAAGAAAATATTTCTTTTTCTCCCTGTAACAAACATCATCTGTGACTACCCCTGTGCCCTGTCTGATCCTGCTAATGAGCTCTATAATGCAGGTAAAGGAGAGACAGAGATAAAACGAGCATGGTTACACAGTGCCTGCTGCATAAAAAAAAAAAAAAAAAAAAAAAAAAAAAAAAAAAAAAAAAAAAAAAAAAAAAAAAAAAAAAAAAAAAAAAAAAAGAGAGAAAGAGAAGATAATGTGCCCATATCTTAAACAGACACATTTCATGATCTGTGAAACTACAACAAGAACTCCTAACACTGAGAGATGATTAAACTATTACACTCTAATCAACACACGGTGCCAGCCATTCCTGAGGATTAACAGCCAGTATTACAGCCCCGGGGGAAATAGAAATTGATACTTTTAAACACAAAATCGGAAAACATCCTGAGCTGGGAGGGACCCACAAGGRTCATCGAGTCCAACMCCTGGCCCTGCACAGGACAACCCCAAAAATCAGACCAGGATTCTTGATACCACATAAAATCTGATTTCAACACTTTCACATGGCTAGTACACGCAATACCTTTTTATATATTCTTAACTAATTGGAAATAAGGTAAAAAAGGTAAAATATTCCATGCAGTGGTGGGTCAAGCAAGTTCATTTTCTGGCTGGTTGTGTCTCTTTTCRCTTCCACCTTTCTCCCAAGTAAATCTTCCTTGTGTCAACAGTGCCTGGAGATTGAAATGGCATCCCATATTTCAATGGGAAAGAATAAATGAGAAATATCATAATRGGAGCAAACATTACTGCTGAAATCAGATGAATATCAGACGTTTTTAGGCTGTGAGAAATCCCCAGAGCTGCAGAGATGTAATGTGGATTCTCGGTGTTATTTGGTGTCAGAGCAGGACTCAGTGCTGAGTGCAGTGATTAACAATCTGCAGAMTGAGCTGGCAAAGGCCAGAAAAATGCAGGAAGCCTCATCCAAGGACTTGACAGCATTCTCTAAAAGAGAAAAAGGTGCCTGCTCTGTGTTGGAAGAGAACAGGAGTCCTGATTTCTTTGYTGTGAATATTTTGATTATCCATGGTATTTTGCCAATCGATCTGTACAAGACTGTCCCACCTACAGGACCACAGCACAATTCTGTCTTTGTTCCAGCTGAGGCTGAGTGGCTTGTGGAAATTCTCCAGGCTGCTAAAAAAACCTTGGGTCAGCTTYTTTCCTAAGATCCCTTGTGGAGGATCTTTGGAAGCACCTTGGAAGTCAGTGGGTTTGTACCTGCTTGGAGATTCACAACACCATGTTATGGTGCTACAGGCTGACATCTGACAGCAATGTAATGCTGGAAATACGAAAATACCAAATAATATCACTGAACTTTCTTGTCCTGTTTTATTTAGAGTAAACAGAGCAAGTCCATGACTGAGCTTTCAAACTGTCATTCTCTTTTTTTTACATTTTTTACATTCCTACTATTTTTATTTTTTTTTCCATTTTCCCATCAGTGTAACAGAGTTTATCTCCAGACTAAGAGTGTGGGAGCAATTTCCTCCTCACAGCCCAGACACTGCACAGCCTGAGCCTCTGCAGTCAGGGTAGCAGGAGCAGGGGCATGAAACAACAGCTCCTTTAAGCCATAGCTTGTGTCTAGGGACATCCCAGTAATGTGCTTATGGAAGACCAAAACTCCTCAGTAAATAGGAAAATTCAAATTTKACATGGATTTCTATCAAAGGAGAAAGAGTACTATCTTTTTTTCCTGCTAGTTCTTATTATGGCTGAAATTTATGACAATGTACATATGAAAATAATGTGGTGAAAATCTRCATACAGTTTTGGAGAACATAAAACACAGTTTGAAAATAGTCTGCATTTGGTGATATGCTAAGA